CGAAGTCGTCGCGTCGCAGGAAAATTGGCTCTTGTTTCGTGTATATTGCATCCTGCGCCATGAGCAGCATTTTACTGTTCATGACAGCAAGATGGCATGCGGCTAGAGTGATGCGGGGTGGGTGCGAGGACGGACATGGAGTAATGAGGCAGCCAGAGAGCAGATGTGGTCAGTTGGTCCATGTCAGCCAATGACTGGGACCTGGGAGTAGAAACTGCGCACCGGCCCTCCACCGGCCCTGTGAAAGTGAGCAGCAAGTGCCTGCCTGAAGGCAAGTCAAGCAGAGTCGGACACACCACAAACGAAACGACCAAACATCGACTTGGACTGCGCATAATCAGACACTCACGTCCGCTTTGCCAGCTGTAAATTCAGTCGCTGCCAGAAGACCTAAAACTATAAACACTCCTGCCAATGGTCACCGGCGATATAATGGTAGGTCTGGCGTAGGATAATGAGTGCTACATCGCTGTCTCAACGAATGCGTCATCGCCGGCATTGAATCAATGAGTAGCTTTCAGGCCTATCGTAGTATCCGGTGTCACACCATCCAAACCTAAACCTTCATTTTGACGATGCACCTCGGCAGTTGGGCTGTCCCCCAGACAGCAGGAATTGAGCTTGTAGCACGGCTTACAAGGACGTCCTCGCCGTCCTCGCCGCATGCCAACAAGTTGGCCGTTGTTGGCATAGAGAAGACGAGTAGTTACTCTGTAGTTGCTCCTCATTTTTTTTTTGTTCATGCTTAGTCGTCGGAACTCTACCAACCCAAGAGAGCCAATGTTTTAGATGGACTACTGGCGGGCAGCACGATCATCCGAGTCGAAGAATTGGCGACAGTATCAATTGGACGTGAAGCGTGTTTACGTCTGTCATTGCTGACGGTCGAGGTCGGCCTGATTAAGGTGGGGCGGGCACGATTAGTACTCTGCGGCCCGGATAAGCCAGCAAGAGCCTATATGGTAATATTCTGAGGCTGTTATAGCGGAATTCAGTGTGGATGTATCAATTTTGTCTGGCTCTGGGGTCGGCCCCAGGCGACCGGAGACACCGTGGAGGAAGTTTTGGCGGGAGAAGGGCGTGTGGAGCGGGAGTCGGGGGGCTTTCGGTTTTTTTCTTGTCCCTGGACCCAGTCCAGTACCAGCATCCAGTCGTTATCTCGGGAGCTGGATAAAATTTCGTGCACTGGTGATATGCTGGGTGGGTTTCAGGCAAAGTTGGTCGAGCACTTGGATCGTCCGTACTCCGTCAATCCGCACAGGCGCCAGCACTTAAGAGCTGCCAGCTGGGATGTACATTCTGGGTGACTCCGCAAATGAGGCCGAAGCCCACCCTGAGCACAGTTAACCCGTCATGGCGTACTGTTCCGGCCTGGGTTCCCCCACGCCGATTAGACACGCAGCTGCTGATTGGCACAGTGTGATCGAAACGGGACGCGGCCGTCGTTGGTACCTTCTCGCTCCCACTCCACTATTAGGCCGGCCAAACGGCCGTTTCGACGAACCAGCGGCGGCGGCTGGGGTGCCAGCCCACGCTGGTTATCCATTCTCCATGCGCCGTTCTCTATTCCCTGCCCTTCTTGCCTTCCCAACTTGCCGTGCCCAAGTCCTCGAGTGCTCTGCCCACCCTCCAGCAATAGCTCCACCACCCGTAGCATGTCCACGCTGTCACGCCCCGTGTCGTCCCCATCTCCCGTCTCCCATCTCCCGCCTTCCGTCTCGTCGTCAGCGTTAGCCTCCTTGTCCTTGTCCTGGCTGGTTCTTGACTGCGGTTCTGCTCTCTTCTGTATCCTCACCTGTCCCTCGTCCCGCCATTACGACCTCCATTGCCTTATCTTCTCCTCCGACCGAAACGTCCCGCCATTCCCCCTGCCGACGACCTGCTTTGGATTATAGCCTCGAGCACGCTTCCTCTCTCACTCTCCTTATCAACGTATAGCCAATTCAGACTCAGGTCTAGGTTGGACTTGGGCGAATACGATAACTCCGATAACCAACTGCCATCTGCTCTTGCTGGAATTGGAGCCATTAAAACTACCTCGAGTCTCACCTGCGACATCGTCGTATACCCACTCTCCTTTTCATCCAGAGCTCTCGGTTTTCTTGTTCTATCTCGTTCCGTTGCGTCACCTTTCCAAAGGACATTGGCTGCTTCTCTACGACCACCTGTTGAACGAGTTTGATCGACTTCAGCCAGCCATGTCAGGATTGCCCAGTGCTTGCCTCACTCAGCAATAGAGACGCCCTTTACCTACTCGAGCCGGCCGGCCTGGCCGCTCGTTTCCGCAAACTCTTCTCGTCGCTCGCTCTGAATCGAAATCCTGAAGTACTATTCACCATGCCTGAGCAACCCCCTCGCGCGGTCGCCATGGACCCGCCTCACATCACCGAGTTCGCCTCAGAGCGGTACTTCGAAAAGCTAAGCCAGCTCAATGCTAGCCAACAAAATCATAATCATCATCTTCATCATCTTCATCATCAGCAGCAGCAGCAGCAACAACAACAACAACAACAGCAACAACAAAAGCAACTGCTTGATGCATCCGAACCATTGTTAACACCGTCCGCGGCTGCCTCGTCAACATTCATTCTCCCCCTTCGAGACACGAAATCTGTTGAATCCGAGCTCTCAAGACAAACTGAGCAGAAGAAGGATAGGAGTCGGTTCTTTGGCATTCGCCAAAAAGTATCATTATTACACTCAAAACCTCATGGGGTCGACATCGAGACGCATCTTCCGATTAGAGCTTCTACCGAGTCAACCCGAAAAAGGTTTGAGTTTGCACCGTCTCCTTGTGTTTTCGACAATCTAACAAGCTATATTAGTGCTCCTTTCGACCGATTATTCTTAGCTCTCCCAAATGAACTACAAGTTGAAATTCTGTCATCATTGCCTCTTACGGACATTCTCAGCCTGCGACTTGCCTCCAAAACGTGGCATAGTCTTATCACCGCAAACGAAGCTCCCATTGTTCGAAACCACCTTGATACCCACGTACCCGCCTACGCCCTCCGCTTATATCCGATTGCCGATCAGTCCGAGGTCAACTTTCATTACTTGTGCAGCCTGTGGCACCGATTGCATGTTGCAGCTAAGCTTGCCCATCTAATGTGCGAGTGGATCACAAAAGAGATCTTTTTACGCCAATCTGAAGCTCAACAATTGGCGTTTGCCCCGCAACGTGAGCGTATGCGTCGTCGACTGATCCCTCTTCTCTTTACCGTATTCCATTTCTTTGAGACCTACCGCAAACTGCACCTCCAGCATATCGTCGAACACGGTGGCCATGGGTTACGAAAAGAACCCTATACTCTGAATCCCATCGAGTCCGAGATTATGAATATGTATGACGATCAAACTTTGTTGCGAGTACACGAGGTCTTTCCTCTGATTATATCATCCTTCTGCCGACGGCTGCGACCTCCTACCTATGTCGGCCGTGTTGAGAGATCTCTCAGAGGATATTTGCGAGACCGTCCATCAGACGAAATTCACTCTGCAATCTTGTGCATTGGAGGCTTGCGACAAGTTGAAAGATTATGGGAGATCAAGGGTTACAACAACCGTCGTGCCGCTGTGGATGTTTGGTACAACTCCTTGACCAAGGACTGCAAGGAGCTTGTACCGGAGCCACCCCCTGTCAAGTCACGATTAGGCCTGAAAGGATTCGGTCGCAAGAAGTCCACAAGCGGAGATCGGCCCGCACAAAGGTCATCATTTAGCGAGACATTTGGCAAGACGAGAAGTCTTACAGGATCAGTCGATGCCAACTTTACGGACAATGTAATTGACTATAACTGGGTGTTTCACACAAGCTTGGCAGCTGACGTCCCTATGTCTGCACTCAGCCATGATGATGCCCAGAAATTGCTGGATGATACTCCCGTATTACAACAAATATGGCTGACCACGGCTGAGGCTCTGATTCTTGACCGACGCATTGTATCAAGGACACAAGACATTAAGCGAAATCAGCAGGTCATGTTGGAACTTATTCGCGAAGATGGACTCGACGAAGAAGACGAGTGGTGGTACGGACGAAATAACCCCGACTCCATTAGGCCGTCAGCTAGTGCAGGAGACGATGATGCGGACTAAACTGAAAAAAACATCTGCCGTTGGCGATCCAGCGATGACGTTGCTCGTCTACCTGCGTGGATCCATTGCGTATTTAAAAGAACTGTGGGCATTTACAGGCGTTCTTCTTTTCTTGGATTTATTTAGCAACTTACTCTCATCCTCTGTGACACGCGTATATTTGGCAGAGAGTGAGTATGACGTATTGCTACACGGTATATTGGGGAGAGTTAAGAAAGGATATATGGAGGTGCGACTTATCACGTTTGGTATATTCTTTTTCTCGTCTCATACCCCCTCATGTAGGGCCATAGAAAGCCAGGCTGGGCACACAGTTGGAACGCACATTGAGTCGTGCAATAACTTTGTCAAAACGTCTCTTTTGTCAATTCTCATTTTTTGCGGGGATCTAAGAGGAGCACGCTAAGAGCGGTTGGCGAGAATATAAAATTCATTGCTAAATGTTTCTTTTTTCAAAAGGAAAAACTCCTGGCATCGTTGCAACGCTGTAGAAATGTGGCAATAGAGACATTACTTCAATCATACGTAACCTCAAGCATTGTAACTTGTCATAATGCTACCTAAGATGGTATCAAGCTGCACTTAAGTCTTTTTCTTCATACAGGCCATGAAAAATAATATAAGAACATCATTCAGTCATTGTTAGAAAGAACAAATTACCTTGAAATTGATTTCCCCGGTCAATTGGATATGAACCGAAACAACGCCGAAGCCTTCAAATACTAGCCCTGTTCAAAATACGAATATGCTTGCCGTCGTGACGCCTCCAAGGAGTGACCCAAAAACATTAGGGACTAAAGCAGGTTCGACAATAAGATCTCTTAGTGCAAGAAGGAAGACGAATACGCAAGCAAGCATGCTGGCGCTGTCGGGTCTTTGGGCCGACTCGCAGTCCTTTTTTCCTACATGAAGCCTTGAGTGTTAAAAGCAGAATAGACGCCCAGGGCGGTATTAGCGGATGATTGAGCTCCGGGTGGTCGGTTGTGGTTGCTTAAGTAGCCTTGCTCTCTCCCTCCAGTTTGTGGCCCGGCTGGTTGTTGTTTAGCCTGATCTTGAGATACGGGCACATCGGCATTGCCAGCTATGGCCTGACTAAAGCTGCCTCCGGAGGGGCTAATCGATGTCATGTGATGAGAGGTTTGCTGCAGGCTGTGTTGGTTATAGTAGTTCTGTGCCGCCGCATTTATACGCTGAGACGCAAATGGATGGCTTGTTTGTTGTCTTGGTATGGCATGGCTCAGGGTTGGCGACTCTAGCTGTTGCTGTTGTGGAGAGGTAGCTATGTAGAAATGTCCAAGTCGTGATGTCTGGGTAGCATGTGGCCCCAGTCCCATTCCTTCAACTCCAGAACCATTGGCCTGGGTCTGTGAGTCGAAACTGCCTGATAGGAATCCAGGCTGTGATCCAGAGCTGGTATTTGGAACGCTTCCGTTTGATATGCGTTGACGCTTCGTCCCCTGGGACGCCTGAGACGAAGGAGCAACTTGATTATTGTTTCCTAGAACATCCACCTGACTTTGCTGTGTGGCGTTTCTCTTTCTTGGCGAGCTGTTGCTTGCGCTGGCGGCGATGGGTTGTTGGATTGACATGTCCGGCTGATTGGGGCTAGACTCTGCATGATGTCGGCCTAGGTTGTCTCCTGCAAGCCGCGCTTGCGCCGAATAGTCATTGTTAGGAATAATATTCTCGGCATTTGCAGTGCCAGATGGAGGGGTAGGAGTCGCTTTAGTCTGTGCATGTATTAAGTCACTGGTATGCGGTGCCGTCTGATTCTCATCATTGATGTTGGTCTTTGGTCGGTTTTTGGAACCCTTTGGCCGACCCCTCTTTTTAGCCACTGGGGTGCTCTTGGGAGCATTCGATTGTGTATTAGGATCATCAGGAAGCACGGGCGTAGCGGAGTTGTCGCTCGTTACTGGAACATCCGCCTCCATACTGTCACCTTCAGCTGCACTCTCATTTTCAGCGACAGCCGGTATGACAAGTGGCACACTATATTTGAGTGCCTTCGATATGTGCCTTTTGCCTTTATCTGCGCGGACCTTGGAGCTTTTACTCCCCTTTGGCCTGCCTCTTTTCCTCTTTCCTGGAACAACTGCGCCTCCTTTCGTCGACGCGGAATCCGTTTGTACTGTAGAAGCCACGGGCACCCTAGTGGCGGACTTTGAAGCCGGGGGAGACGCGGACATCCAAGTAGAGGCAGTCGCCGCTGGAGGGTTCCCTGGCGGAGACGTGTCGGGTACGCTCGGCTGAGGAGCTGTTGAGGCATCCACGTTTGGAAAGATTTCAGCGAGCCAGCCAACAAAGTAATGGCCAGAACCATTTGCGGCGTTACTCTGCGGGAAGGCACTATCATCTGCCGGAGGAGGAGCCCCAGGTATGCCTCCAAAATATGCGAGTCCTCTGCAAAGCTGGTCGACAACCATGACAGGGTTCAACGACCTCAGCAGAGTCAGAAGTCGAGCTTGCTCCGTCTTTGTCTCATGGGGCGATAGTGAAGTCGTTCTCTGGGCAAACCCATGGCCAGGTTGTGACTTGCCTCTGGTCCTCTCCTTGCGCGCAGCATTCGGTATCAACTCTTGCTGTTGCGATTCTACAGCTGGCCCATTTTGCTTTAATTGCCGTAGTGACTTGTAACCGGCTTGGTTAAATAACCTGGAAGCAGCTGCAGTGCCCTCACTCGTTCGTCTCGCTGCGGCAAGCCGTTCGGCCGAAGCAAGATTCAATACTCCCATATGCATGACGGCAAAGTTGCCATTTTTACCGTGATCAACATTCTGCAGTTTGGCAGGGACACCGTTTTTGACGCGGCCATCATAGTACGCGTGACTTCCAGAGGTATACGGAATGTCTATTGGCAGAGCGTTAGTGTGTGTTGCAGCGCACCGGCCGGGAAGAAACATGTAATCAGCCTGACCATCGTTCAAGGGCTCTACAGCCGTCGATGTACCCGAAGGTAGTATAATGGATGAGTCGCCATTCACACCGACTACTATATCAACAGGTTGAGCTTCCTGGCCTCGGTGAGCCGATGTACCATCGGTGGATATATTATTTGGAGCTGTGATTGGCGGGTTAGCTCCTGACGCAGGAAGACAACAAGATGTCGTCGGATTTTGAGATTGTCACTGTAGCGATGAGGAGACGCACCCGCGACTGGCGACATTGTTGCAACCTGGAAGAAACCGTCAAGTCGTCAATGGCTAGATGTCGCAACTACATGCCTTACACCTTGCCGACGGACAGAGCCGTTGGTCTGAAATTTCGGCGCGACGTTCTCGGGCTCACATGGTACAGAGACGGAGCGTCAGAGACGACAGCGAAGATTGCTTGGCAACGGAGACAAAGGAAGCGCAGTGCAAATTGTGCGAAGGATGAAGCCGTTGGCGGACAGCAGATGGGACATTGGCGGCTTGTTGTCGGTTGGATGCGCATTGAAGAGAAGACGAAAGGTCGGTTCGAGGCGGTGTTGGTTGCATCGACCTCGAAGCTACGGAAGTACTGTAGTGTACAGCGCACAAAGCACCGAGTACCAGACCATTGAGAGACATTGATCAATGCTTTGAGGGAACCAGGCGAACCCCAGAGGTTTTTCCAGCCAACCTGCAGCGAGCTTGTCTGCTGGAGCCAGCACTGGAGCACATGTGTCATCCATTGGCGTCTGGCAACGGGCCTGGCCGGCGGGGCATGTTACTCTGCAACTACTCCCTGAGTCGCCTGACCCGCCTGTGCAAGTTGGAGGGCGAACGACATCACATAATACCGACCTGGGTACCTAGGTACCTACGAGCTTCCACCGTGCAATACCACCGTCTCTCGCATCAAAAGCTCCCCTCAACGAGACGGCCGCTCTTCAGAACCCTCAGAGCCCGCTGCGCCGAGCCGTGTATCCTCCACTCTGGGGCCCTCGATATTATATCCTGCCTCCGTCCCTCTCCTCCCCACGGTCGGCCGGTCAAAAGAGTGTCATCATGCCTTCACGCTATGCCGTTGTGTCCCTGCCCCTCGGCGTCTTCGACTCTAGCAGTAAAGTCGATGCCATCTCGTCTCTAAGCGCCTCCATTTCACCAGATAATGGCTCTGTCAACTCCTTCAACATCCCCGATTTTAAGATTGGCACCCTTGACGCCCTAGTTCAGCAAGCCGATGATCTAGCCAAGCTCGAGACGACATGTCAATCCGTCGTCACCAAAGTCGGCGAGTCGCTCCGATCTGTTCTAGACAATGATGAAGAGCGCCTAGCTTCTTACAAAATGGTCAATGACAGTTAGTTAAGTCGATCCTCCAGAGTTGCTGCGCGGTTGGACTATCCGCCACCAAACTTTCGCCAGAGGCTGATAGCACTTGGTTTCAATAGAGCCGACGGAACAGTATCTCCGTAGCTTCACTTGGAATAAGATTCGATATCGAAGCGATAAGTCTCTGGGTGAACTGATAGACACCCTTCAGAAGGTATCATTGTCTTTCGTGTTGAGAAACAAGACAATTTGGCTGAATTGTGCTTCCCACAGGAACTGGTCACGGTGGACAATGACGTCAAAACCAAGTTCAGCCAGTACAACACTGTCAAATCGAACCTTGCCGCTTTACAGCGGCGCCAGACGTGAGACATACCCATGAGCGTGACCTGCTCACAGTCTTCAAAGCCGAGTATTCTGACTGAAGTTTGGATTTGCAGAGGAAACCTCGCAACCAGGTCATTGACTCCCATCGTGAACCCGAAGCTCCTCATTAAAGATTCCGAATACATCGAAACACATCTTATCGCCGTGCCAACTAACGCCAAGAAGGAATTCATCAAAACCTATGAGACGCTATCTCCTATGGTCGTGCCCCGATCCTCTGTAGAAGTTGACCACGACGACGAGTTCACTCTTTTCGCAGTCGCCACTTTCAAGAAATATAGTGCAGAATTTATTCACAAATGTCGAGAGCAAAAGTGGACTCCACGTCAATATACCTATGTGGAAGGTGGGCGAGAGGAGGAACAGCGTGAGTTGGACCGGGTAACCAACGAGGAGCGCAAGGTTTGTGGTGAGGCTCTTCGCATCGGCCGAACAGGGTGGAGCGAAAGTGTCATGGTATGGATTCACGTCTTAACATTGAGAGTCTTTGTCGAGGCCGTACTGCGATACGGATTGCCGCTTGACTATGTGACTGCATTGGTGAAGGTATGGTATTCCCTCAGGGTTTCAAAGACCTAGACAACATATCCCCGCAGAGGTATATGAAGCTGACTGACCCTCTATAGACGACTCCCAAGCTGGCACCCAAGGTCAAGGCAGCGCTTGACTCCAAGTACTCATACCTGGGAGGAAATGCCTTTGGCCGCGACAAGCGTGGCAGGGTCACCAAAGATGACGCGGCCATGTCCTCCGAGATGGCGGCGGCAGGCCTTGGAACTGGTGAAGGACACGAGTATACAGCCTATGTTTATTATGAGTTGGAATTCCCGTGATACGACACATTTAGTTTGGTAACTCATATTTTTTTTCGAGAGAGGTGATGACGGTGTAGCCACAAAGGAAGAGTGATTGACCCGCATAGATTCATTTGGGGCGCTTGTATTTTAGCTATCTTCATGATCTGTGAAGCACGCTTGGCCATGCCGGGCAAAAAGACACGATGACCAAAAATAGGACAGTGGTCTATCTATCTCATTCATGCTTTACTTTTGTTCTTGTTTATTTTTATATCCATCTCCCCGCTCTCTTCATGCTGCAAAAGGACCATCTAGCTCAACTTAAGGTATCCCTTTTCCAAGAGCCAGTTGACGATTTGGGCGACGCACTCCTCAACGGAGTTTTCGTGCGTCTTGATAGTTATTTCAGGGTTGATGGGCTCCTCATAAGGAGCCGAGATGCCAGTGAACTCCTTGATCTCGCCAGCGCGAGCCTTCTTGTACAGACCCTTGGGGTCACGCTGCTCAGCGACCTCGAGAGGAACGTCGACGAAGACCTCGACAAAAGGGATCGGCTCGTCTTTGACATCCTGCGAAGCGGCGTGCAGCTGGCGGGCGACATCACGGTCCGCTCGGTACGGGGAAATAAAGGACGTAATAGCAATAGTGGAAGAGTCGGCAAAAAGCTTGGCGACCTATTCTCCTCTTGTTAGCACAAGCCCACTCCATGGTCTGGCGGTTCTCGACAAAGTTCCTCTTTCCGGGACTCACCTCTGAGATACGGCGAATGTTCTCATTGCGGTCCTTCTCGGAGAAGCCCAGGTCCTTGTTCAGGCCGAAGCGGACATTGTCCCCGTCCAGGCGGTAGGCGGCGCGGCCGAGGTGCAGGAGGTGCTGCTCGAGGGCGGTGGCAACGGTGGACTTGCCCGAGGCTGAGAGGCCGGTGAGCCAGATGGTTAGACCGCGCTGGCCACGTAGCTCGTTGCGCTCTTTGCGCGAGAGGGACGGGTGCCATGTGATGTTGCTGGTGTCGTTAGCATATGCCTTGATGCGTCAATGGTTGCAAATTTGCTTTTTTGGCGGGGGGGAGTTGTTTGCTGTCCGCATCGTCATGGTGGTGACGGTCTTGATGGCGGGGTGGTTGTGATGGAGGGGTTGATGCGCATTGCGCCCGCACATACGTAGCCATATTGTAGGGTGTCTGCGACAGACTGCTGGAAGAAGGGGAGATTGAGACAATTGAGACTGGAGAGGTGTAGCTGGATAGCAATTAGACGTTTGTTTAAGTCGGGTTGCAGCACGAGCATTTGAAATACGTGAGGCCTGGGAGCCTGCCTAGTCTACTGAATCCACTTATTCGTCCTGCCGCTAGCAGAATACTTACTGAGTTTTTCTTTGCTCTCGGTCGGGTAGTCCGTCCCTGAGATGTTGCGCGTGTTTTTTTCTGGCCCCCCCTTCTCCTGCGCTCGTAGTGTCGCCATCGCCAGGTCCAAATGGCTGGACGAGTAAGAATGCGCCGTGATGGCGACAGTCCGGGGCGGGATGGGATTGCGACAGTCCGAAGGGGAGGGAGGGGTCCACTTGGCTTGTGGTGCGGATATACGTATGTAGATGGCTTAATCTATATCCACTTCGTTGAAGGGCATGGCCGTGCTTTCGTTCGTTGCGAGCGGCGACTACGCTGCCCCGTGATCGGTGGTGGTGTTCCGGGACACGCATGTGGTATCAATTTGTTTATCGGCTTCACACCACAGCTCAAATGCCTTTGATATGCGGGTACCTGAACTGTTTTTCCTAGCAGGCCATGTCGTCATCTCTGTATGGGGTGCTGGTGACATTTCATTCACCTCCGGCGTTGTTCGCTCCGCCCGAAACCTTGCCAGACCAGAGATTATCACACCATCAAAGACTGTTCGGGCACGAATGCCGGCTAGATATTGCCGAAAAATTGTTACTTCCCTGGTAGCAGGCGCCGCGAAAGACGATGCTTGAAAGGCAGATAGCCGTCGGTCCGGTTATCTAAAAGGGGCATTATCTGGGCAAACATTTATTTCACCAAATTCTCAGCTCTATCAAGTCTATTACTTCTACATGTATGTACATTGCTAGAGGGATGCGTCAAATGACACAACCACCGTCATACATAGCCACGCTGTATAAGTAAATCATATGCTATTTTTTGCACGCGCAAAGCAACGCTGTCTAATCAGCCAAGCCACCCACATCTCTATCGTCTAGGAATGCGCTTAGTTAATCCTCGGCATCATCTGTAATCGCGAATTAGCAACGTGAACTTTTCAAACATGTCTACTATGCCAAGCCAGGTTCCACTTACCGCTGCAAACTTGGGAGATACAAACAAGGCTGTTGCATCAGCATACACCGTAGGCTCCTCTCCCGGAGCGGCGACAGATTCAATATGTCCCTTGACCCAGGCCTTGCGGCCCTCCACCTTTGTGGTCTCTGCTCTCAGCACCAGATAGCTGCCCGCAGGAGTAGGTTTGCGATAGTTGATGTTGAGATTGGCAGTCACGCCGATGTTGTGAGGTAGAGCGGCAAAGCAGCACCGTGCAAGGCCCTCGTCGAGCATCGTGGCCAGGAACCCGCCGTGGACAATCCCCGGGTGGCCGCACAGGTCTTCTCCAACGTAGATAACGGAAACTAGCGACTTGCCACCCTTCTCAAGCCAAGCATACGGAGGGACAGGGACCTTGCCGGGCCCGGTTAATGCGCTCCCCGTGAGGCTTCGTGCTCGATACTGGCCGGGCATCTTTAGATGTGGTCGCGACTCGACCATTTCTGGGCGTTGGCGCTGCTCGGCCACCAGCGGAAGATTATTAATTGTGTCTTCGATTCGCCGCGCCTCGACATCGGCTTCTTCGGGGGTGAATCGCTTCAAGCTCTCTTCATCGGAATAAAAACCCAATCCCTGGGTCTTGAGGGTATGCCATGAGCCATACGCTCCAATGGCGCTAAAGGCGAACCCGAACATGACGTAGAAGAGGCCTCTTCGCAGTGCGTGTCCACCTCCGCCACTCGAGTTGCCTGCGCGTCGTCACCTTCATGTCAGCCAGGGATCCATGCTTATATTCTTCACTATGCGGACGGTTTCTTATCTAACCTGACGCAAAGGCAACATTTCCCTTGCCATCATCGGCAAAGCTAATGGCTTGAGCAGAATTCGACGCGGTAGCAGCCCCTTCACTATTGGTTGCAGTAGCGCCAGAGTGTTGCCATCGCTGAGCCGATCTACTTGACGCATGCAACAGCGGCGACCATGCTGGGTTGTACAGTCTGGAAATCGTGCATGTCCGTTGGGCCAGACGGCGAGCGACGGATTCCAACATTGTGTACTTTCTGTACGCCCCGCGCACACCTAAGGATCTTCGCAATCAAGATCAAAGGGTTAAGAAAGGGTAACCGGCACCAAGATCACAAAGATGGAAATAGCATGTCCTGCCAACGATTATGGATGAGAATAAAGTTAATCTCCGGCTTCCCCATTCAAGGCGGCGAATTCAACCTTGGTTATCCGAGGTTCGGCGGCTCCGCTTTTCCCATTCAGGAACCATCAGCTTTTTTCCCAGCGTTACGCCGGGGCCACCTCAGTCAATGGTTGGATCTTACCAATCCTCCCCTCGTTCGTTTATACGTCATTTCCTCTGCCTCCAATTCGCCGCCCCGAGCTAGTGAGCGAATGAAATAACAAGCTGGAATGAATGAAGTAGTTTAGATTGGTACCTGACCCGTCATATCGTTACAGAGGGCCGGATGCGCAAAAGGGTCGAGCTACCTGAATAAGTTTTGGCAGCACTATCCAGCTGCTTTATGCACTCTCCTACCCAAATGGACTGAATATTTACAATGTTCTATTCCAACCTCTATTACAATCCGTCTTCCTCTGCGGCCAAAAGCTCGGCGTAGTCATCAACCGATGCAAACATCGGGAGGTCCTTAAGAGCCTTTCTTCTCGACTTTTTCTTGCTCTTCTCTTGAGGTTCATCGTCTTGGTCGGCAAGTTGCTCGTCCTCAATTGCTACCAAGCCGTCGGAATCAACTTCATCCTCACCGCCAAAGGTTTCACCCATATCATCATCTTCATCATCATCAAGATCGCTCTCCAGAGAAAGGGCAGGAGATGAGCCATCTTCGGAACCCATGTCCAAACCATCCATGTCATCAAAGCCGTCTTCGTCGGCATCATCTTCAATATCAGGTTGCGTGGACACCAGAGCCTTCCAAATTTCATCCTCGTTGGTCTCTTCCTCTTCCTCTTCATTTGCTTTCCTAGTTGTAGGTTTAGGTTCTTTAGCAACGTGCTGGAAATACTCATGGAAGAAGACATCGTCAGCTGCAACGTCTTCGACCTTCTTCTTCCAGAATGCTGCAGAATTGACTGGCGCGGATGCGGTAGCAGGCCCCTTGCTTCCCAGCCAAAAGTCGCCCAAGTCCTTGGTTGCGCGGAGAGGCTGCATAATGGATACGCCACGAGCAGAATCAGTGGTCTTGGGATTGCGGTACACGAACTTGTCCAAAAATCGGATCAATGTATGGCTCTCCATGTCTGGCTTTTGTACTTTTTTCGTCTTGTCCAGCAGGGCCGCGGCAAAAACGTTAACAGACGGATGGAAATGATTTTGGAAGGGAACCTAGAGCAGGTCAGTATAACGGCTAACCGGCTGTTATTGTAATTTCTATAACATACCATCTCCCACAAGCAACTCCTTTGCGCATTGCTATGCTCCGGGTCGCGCTTGCGTCCATCATACCTGGGAAGTTCTGCCGATGCCTCGTCGTCGAAAATTGAAGCTTCGGGTTCGTCAACAAGTGTTGATAAATCAGGGAAAGTTTGTCGTAGATGCGCAATGACATAGAGCAATCCGCATACAAAGGGAGGCTGATGAAGACTCGAAATTTGCAACATCCGTTTGGCAAAAGCTTTGACCCTTCGAACATCAATATCGTTCTTCAAAGCACGGAGAAGCAAGTTCAGGTACAATGCTTGCTTGGATGAAGTGACTAGACGAGGATCCAGTAGCGACTCATACAAAGTTCGG